GTTCAGCCCCGAGCTATAAATATTTTCTTTGGATACCCTAGCATTTCCAGACGAGGGTACTCTGGATTCTAATTGATTTAAACTGTTAACAGGTTTTGATTTGACGGAGCTCCAAGCTGCCCAAAGTTGCTTTGACAATGAAGTGGGTGGTATATGCATTGAACAAATAAACGCTCCCCTCTTTCTATAGGTGGGCGCAATGCCTCAGCGGTTAAAGATGCTGAGCTTGCCTGCTGAAAAACCGCCAGCCCAGGTTCGAGACCCGAGCGCTACATGACAGAGTGAGCTCCCGTTCCTTGCCCCACCTAACAGTTCAAAGGCACCCCATGCGATTAGATAAACAGGTACCCCCCTTTGGCAGGAAGGGAGCAGCGTTCCGTGCACCCGTGGGGGGATAGCCATACCGGCCACACAACCACAGAAATTGTCTTTGGACGAGGTCTACAACACCTCGCCATGGCGAATTCTCCATGGGACAACTCGCTGCAGGACAAGTTACGCTACGATCGAAGAGATAGCGTCAAATAGAATCATTTTTCAAAAAAGGATGCCGAAGGAGGGACAAAATAAAACGGGAATGACAAAAATTAAAACAAATCTTTGATTATTTTGAATAATTAAATAGAATTGCTGAATTGTCCCACAGCGAGTCGGTTATGTTGAGTTCTCCCTGTTTGTTCGGACAATGCTGGCTCACTTGGCTAAGAAACAGAGTCGGGACACGACTGGACAGGGGAAATCTTCTGCTTTTATTTTTTAACCTTTCTAGAGATGAGAGTCCTCTGCCCAGCTGCTGTTATCATCTCTTTTAACCACCCCCGTCGGTCGCAAAACGAACCGTCTCCTTCTTACCTTCATCTCCCTCTGGTAAGGGAGCAGGCTGGTGACAAAACTGTGCAGCCGGCTGTCGTAGCTCTTGTAATCCAGGTAGAGTTCCCGGTCGTGGGTCAACCTGAGCGCCATCCGGCCGGCGATTAGGGCAGCCAAACGCATCGCATTCTCCATCGTGGTGATGCTGTTGCTAAAGACCGCGAGAAGGTTGCCCGTATTGTCCTCCGCTGTGCCGAAATAGGGGTAGGGGTAGGAGTCTCCGCCCTGCGAGGGAGAAGCAAAACAGTGAGCCGTTCCCACGCTGAGTGGGGGTCTTTTTCGGCGCCCACCGGCCTTGCCCCCATTTATCCTCTCGGAGAGCTTTCCACTAGCAAAGGATGGTCGAGAGAGAGAAAGTGGGAGTTTTGTGAGTTGTGGGAAGCAACCCATTTTTCGGCTGCTTCCTTAGTGCTTAGAAGCAAGAGTGCTTTCCATATTTGAGACACATAAAGGTGAAGGTTCCCTTTGTACATATGTGCTAGTCGTTCCCGACTCTAGGGGGCAGTGTTCTCATCTCCGTTTCAAAGCCGAAGAGCCAGCGCTTTCCAAAGACGTCTCTGTGGCCATGTGGCTGGCATGACTCAACGTCAAAAGCGCATGGAATGCTGTTCCCTTCCCACCAAAGGTGGCCCCTATTTTTCTACTTGCATTTTTCTACTTGCTTTCGAACTGCTAGGTTGGCAGAAGCTGGGACAAGTGACGGGAGCTCACTCTGTTACGCGGTGCTAGGGATTCGAACTGCCGACCTTTCTGATCGGCAAGCTCAGCGTCTTAGCCACTGAGCCACAACGTCCCCTTTGAAACACACAAAATAAAATGTTCAAAACTTGTGGCAAAATTATGTCCCACCTTTTGCAAGATTTCACAGCACGGAAACTACCCGATCGCTGTTCCAATTGAAAGGCCCCCCTCTGCTGTACAGGTAGTCCTTGACTTACAACAGTTTATTTAGTGACCTCCCGAAGTTACGATGGCTTGGGAAAAAGTGACTTACGACCGTTTTTTCACGTATGCAGAATCCCCAGGGGGGGGGTCACGTGATAAAAATTCAGATTGCTTGGTAACTGGTTCCTATTTATGACGGTCGGGAGTGTCCTGGGGTCATGGGATCCCCCCCTTTGGTGACTTTCTGATAAGCAAAGTCAATGGGGAAGCCGGATCCATTTAACAACCATGGAAGGTGTGTTAAAAATGGGACAAAATTAACTGCCTATTTCGCTTAGCAACAGGAATCCTGGGCTCAACTGTGATTGTACCTGCAGTCAAGCCCCCCCCCCCCAAGACTTTAATCAGGGGGATGTCCAATTTTAAAAGTTGTGAACTTCAATGGCCAGAATTCCCCAGCCAGCTAAGAATTCTGGGAGTTGAAATCCACAAGAGTTAAAGTGGTGACCTCTGTTGTAGTCCACCGGTGGCTTCCTGAAGTCTGGGGAAGACTCTGATGAGGGCTCTGTGTCGGAGGCAGAGAGGGGGCCAGGGCCATCTGGAGGTTGCTGCCTCTGGAGCCTCCAGAGCGGGACATCAGCGAGGCAGAGGAACAGGGGGAGCCTGTTCCCAGTGTGCGCATGTGCAGAGTTGCCAGAAGGCAAGAACAGCTAAGACAAAAGGGGCGACTTGGGAGTAAGGCTTGGAGACGATTGGCCCCTCCCATAAGACATAAAAGTGGCACACACAGACGTGAGCCTTTGCAGGAAGCAATTTTGTTCGTGCTGGTCGGTTTAAACTCTGAAGCTCCGTTTAGACTCTGTGTTCCTTTTGGCCTTGCAAAACTAATTGGCAATTAGGTCTCTGGCAGCGTTTCAAGGGAGATAAAGGCGGGTGTTTATCCAGCCTTATCCCGAAAGACTTTGACAGACTTCTGTCAGACTCTTTACAAACTATTTGGGACTCATTACGGGCTGTGAATGAACAAAACTCACAGCCTTTGAAATAAAATGAGGGTTTTGGGGACTGTGTGTGTACTTTTTACTGTATCCGGGAGCCTGGGTCAGAACCACCCTGCCTTAAGACTTGGGAGCTTCATCCACTGGAAGCTTTCAAGAAGAGACTGGACAGCCACCTTTTGGAAATGCGGCAGGGTCTCCTGCTTGGGCGGGGGGTTGGACTAGATGACCTACAAGATCCCCTCCAACTCTTGTTATTCTACTCTGTTCTACTGGCCATCAGAGACCTTGCTCGATGAGCGCAGAGTAAACTCTTCAAAGCCCAACTACCGAATGTGGGTATTTCCACATTAACCTGGAATTTGCTGGCCAGCAAGACACCCCAAATTCTGGAAGCAGCTTGCACCCCCCCCTCCCGACGTCTTCAGAGGCGGTTGGGAAAGCTGCAGCGCCGAAGGGCGAGTTCAGAACTCACGTTGTTGATGCTGAAGGAGACGGAGGGGATCCCCGAAGAGGCGATGAATGTTCGCGCTGCGTCATCAAAGCGAAACGGAACTCTGAGGATAAGGAAAAGAGAGGGGAGAAAGTTTCAGCCGCTGCTTTAGAACTTTTTAGAAAACCAGTATGACCTAGTGGTTAAGGTGCCGGTGTAGAAACCAGGTGACGGTGAATTATAATCCCACCTTAACCCCAGACGTACTATTTCAGTTACGCTATTACAGACTTGAGGTCATAATGCGCCCCTCATACAATTTTCTTAATCTATGAAAATAATAGGTGGGATATGTTGTTAAATTTACTTTGTGTAGTTAACCATTTTCATTGGTTGATCAAATTAGCACGTTTTATAAATCCGATTCGCAACTGGAACGGTCCATTTCTAAAAATAGGGGTGTTCCGAACACTTCTGAAAACTGCTGCGGTCACTGTGACCCCAGGTCTGTGGTTAAGGGTTAAGCCAGCTGGGTGAGTTTGAAACCATCACCAGGAGAACGTGAGTTCTGTTCCTGCCTAAGGCCAGAAAGTTTGGAGATTTTTCTCTTATTGGGGAGGGGAACACTTGTGTTTATAAAAATCTGACTATGAATGACAGCTGCTTCTCAAAAGCAGTGAGGAGCTGCAAAGCAGGAGTCCTGTCGCAGCCGCAAGAAGATCAGGGAGAGCCAAAACTTTTACTTACTCTTTGCTTGCAAAAGCGGCACGGAGATTGAGTGGCAAGAAAGCAACCTGCAAAAGGACACACAAGGAGGACCACATCAGACCCTTCCCTTAACAGGGATAACCCACAGCCCATGCCCAACCCCCCGAGACTTAAAGGTCTGTGGTCATTTCCAAATCCTTCGGCCTTGCCTGAAATTTCTGCTCTTGCAGATCTCAGGTCAAATGGCAACAGATGTTCAACAGTACAGAAAAAGTGAAGTCTGTGTGTGTAACTATCTATCTCTCTATCTCTCTATCTCTATCTAACTCTATCTAACTCTCTATCTATCTATCTAACTAACTCTATCATCTATCTATCTATCTATCTATCTATCTATCTATCTATCATCTATCTATCTATCATCTATCTATATCTTTCTCTCTTTCTATCTCCTCTATCTCTTTATCTGTCTATATCTATCTATCTATCTATCTATCTATCTATCTATCTATCTATCTATCTATCATCTATCTATCTATCATCTATCTATATCTTTCTCTCTTTCTATCTCCTCTATCTCTTTATCTGTCTATATCTATCTATCTATCTATCTATCTATCTATCTATCTATCTATCTATCTATCATCTATCTATCTATCATCTATCTATATCTATCATC